CATCCGCTTCCGCGTTTTAACCTAACCCTTGGCTACATGTACATGTACCTCCTCGCTTTTTTCTTCTATTGCATAAAGCTTGTTGGCGAGCCAAGCGATTGGCGATAACACGTTGTCGATAACACATTGGCCATCTCCTCGTCTTTCTTATTTAAATAAGGAGCTCTGACTCAACTGATTTCTTTAATCTCGCAAGTTATTTTCCTCGTAAACGCCGTACAAACGTTTACCCGTTGAATAGTTGTTTATGCTTTATTGATCTGGTACAGATCTGATGCAATTTTTCGCTCTTTGTACTGAGTGTAGCCATCTATTCTGCGATGTAGCACCTTATACAGTCAATGACAATGTATAATGAATACACGGTCTAAATAATATCGATGGGCACTTACATATTAATTGATGCCGGTAATGCATAACATAAATTTATATATTGTATTATTGCGTAGAATCTCAAAGATTTTCTCAATATTCATGTCTGAAATGTTCATATACTTGAAAACAACACTGTCTCGCTTCTGCCTACGTACTGTACCTCTGTATAATGAGTATGCCGTGAAAATAATATCGGCACTCAATTGAATGCCTAGAATCTCAAAGATTTTCGACTCAATATAACAATATTTACGTCTGAAATGTTTATACACTTGACTGCACTGTCTAGGCGGTCTAACTCCTTCCTAGCTCTGTATAACGAATATACCGTCTAAATATTATCGGAACTTAATTGAACGCCCGTAATGCATAAGATCAATTTATATTTTGCGTAGATTTTCAAAGATTTACTCAATATTCACGTCTGAAATGTTTATACATCTGAAAACTACACTGTCACTCCTTCCTTGCATATCGTCACGCCATCGTGATCTACGGCTTGATAGCGCATGCGCATTTGCGCTACTAAAGAAAAAATCGGGTGTTCCGGGGTAAAGATCCTTTACACAACATGTGAAGCGAATGTTCTAAAATTTACAAAAAATTACAATAACGAAAGCGATTCCTCGATAATTTTGTGAACTTGGCAAAAGGATAACAGAATATGTAAATAAGTTAACTGAAATTGCCTAAATAACCTTCAAAGCACTGACTAAGTACGATAAATCACTACGAACATATATCGTATACACCCCCCGGAAAGTTTACTGTATGACTGAATGAATGAATGAATGAATGACTGACTGACTGATTCGTGTGAATTTCCCCCCAGTCATCACAATACTGTGAAGTTTCGAAGAAACTTCACACTAAAAACGGTAAAAGAGTTTTATATATGGTTTTAAATGTTCTTTCAAACGAGAAAATAAAAAAATATATTGCCATTTCCCTTTAAAAGTATCAAAAAGGAGTTATGTGAAAGATTTAATATCATGTGGAAAGATCAGATTCAACATCTTGGACTTAGTAAATTGCAAGTTTTGGCAAGTTTGTAAAACCTGGTATAAATTTGAAAGCTATCTATCTCATTGAAGTTAAAATTGTGAAACATCGTCAAGCAGTGACTATATATAGGTTTAGGATATCCGCTCATACGTTACCAATTGAAACTGGCAGTGACTAAAGGGTTTAGGATATCCGCTCATAAGTTACCAATTGAAACTGGACGCCATATGCGAATATTGAACGTAACTCGATTTACGTCTATGTCCAATTCAGTGTAACTCAAATGAGATTGGGGACGAATATCACTACTTTTCACATTGTACTATTGTAGCAACAAAAGGTAAGAAAAATTCGGAGAAAATGTTTTAAATGAGTTAGTTGATTTTAATTGCACCAATTTAACTCGTTCACTCGTTGGGTACAAATAATTTATTTTTATACTGTGTGTCAATGAATGACAAAAATAGTATTAGTTTAATTCTACGGCCGGTACACTATGAAATAATGAATACTTTTTGGGATCTTGCCTGCATTGATCTTGCCTGCATTTGGGATCTTGCCTGCCTTGACTTGTCCTTAATTAAATAGTTTGTTATTTTTGTAAATATTATTATTACTCTGTTCTATTATAATGTTATTTTTATAGCTGATAATATACATTTGCTGTATTCTTTACTTGGCACCAGTATTGGTATTTTTGTTTGAATAAAGTTATTATTATAGGCAGCCCGGCAAATATGTGTATTCACTTAAAAATGCATTAAGAGGGCTTGTCAGTAAATATCAAACAAGTCTGGCCAACCTTCAAAAATCGTTTTAGCTCGTATTTCCAGGAATGATAGGCCTAAGTATCCCAAGAATTGCCGTGTAGTTAATTTGATCAAACATTGCTTTTTAGAGGAGAAATTCGCATTCTATCAACATCTACCGCAGAGATTCCACGAGATACTACGCATGCGCACAGCTGGTCATTCTACTATGCACACTCCGCCATTACATGGCGTGTTTGGTCATACATAAACATAATCCTTAGTCAATGAATGACATCTAGCGAAGACGAACTGTTTTAAA